AAAAAGAGACACTTAACCAACTGAGCCACCCAGGCGCCCCGAGCCCTCGGTTTCTAAACTCCTTAAATCCAAGCTAGAGTCTGATGGCAACTTTTCAAATAGAATTTCTCATGGAAATCACAAGTTCCCAACACAGTGGCCGCTTCTAATATAATCTCAAAGGTCTTCCGGGGCACCGTTATTCCTGTTTTAATATTTTATTTTTAAGTCATCTCTACACCCAGCGTGGAGCCCGAACTCACAACCTCGCGATCAAGAGTCGCGTGCTCTTCGACTGAGCCGGCCAGGCGCCCCTCTGGAGCACCATTAAAGTGGGCATCCTATCATCTCCAGTGAAGCTCATTGAAAACTCTTCCTAAAACGTCCCACTCTTTCAGAGGTCATGGCTTTGTGTCCCTTAAGGGGCACTGCCCCCAAGATGTGACCGCCCTCAAAGAGAAAGAAATCAGGAAAAGCTGTAGCGGCGCTCCCCGGCCCCGCAGAGCGCCACTGTCTGCAACACCTGTTCAATCTGAGTCAGGGGCTGGAGTCATTTAGAAGGTCCTCTGGCATCTGACATATGCAGACTGGGTTTAGGATGGAGAGCAATTCCAAGCTGACTGGAGAAAAACAAACGCCCGACACAGTGTCATGGACCACGTGCATGCGTGTGGTCAGTAAGGCTTTCCGCCAAGCTGTCGCTTCTCCCGTCCCCACCCCCCGTCTGCCCATCAGATGCCTGTCGAGTGCCCCCAGGTGCCAGGCACTGCGCTCAGCACTTCGGAGGCCATCCTGCACAAAAGAGTTCTTGACTCCGGGGGCCCATTAGTAACATTTGGGTAACAAATTTCTGCTCTTAGCATGAGCCCTCCCTCCCCCACCCTGCCTGCCCAGGAAATGCCGGCCTCGGGAAGGAGCAAACCTGGGGACGTAACAAGGGTCACGTGGCAGCTCGAACTCACGTCTGCCACTTGGCTGATGCTCCTCCCACAAAGAGGTTGTGGTCTCTCTCTCCCCTCCTGTTGAATCTGGCCTGGCTCGAGCAACTCAGTGTGACCACCGGCAAGTCACAGAGGTGATGCCCTGAAAACTTCAAGGCCAGGGCAGAAAGGGCGACGTGGCTTCCACCTTGCTTGCTTCGGTGCTGGCTCTGGGAACCCTGAGTCATCGGGGAAGAAGCCCAATGCCCCCAGGTGCCAGACGTACGAGCCAATGAGTCTCTGGACGACCCCAGCCCCCAGCTTTCTGTTTGGAGCAAAGGCAAGCTGGCCCTATCATGCCCTTTCCAAACTGCTGACCTAGAGAATCCATGAGTGAAAGACACTGTTGCTCCCTTTCCTCTGTTTGGTGCAGGTGGTTATGCAGCAACAGTAACGGGAGCAGATGGCAAAACTGCAGGCCAGAACGTTCCTCTGTGCCCCGCAGACTCCATCGGGATTCTCTGCAGCAGCGGGGCCTCTTCCCTGCTCAGGGCTCCTCTGATCACAGCCTCTACAGCTTCCCTCCCCAGCACGCTGTCCCAGGCTGTCACTGCTGCCCCCACCCTGCCTAAGCCTTAGCGGTTCGCCTGGCGGTGACCTTCCGCCCCTGGGGGTGGGGGGTGAGGGCCCCTGCTCTGCCATTCCTGGGCTTGAGAGGAACTCGGCTGTAGAGGATCCCAGGCCCTAGAGGAGCGGGAGGGCCTGTAATCACCCACATCCTTCCTTTCTTCCTCAGATTCCCCGGGCTGGAGAGTCAGACCCCATCCCTCTCCTTCCCCTGCCTGGGCACCACTGATAGACTCTGACCCAGTGACAGTGAGCCAGTCACCAACGTATCCAGTCTATCCATTCTTGGAAGGCAGGCAGTCAGGGACTTAGCTCCAACACTCTTCCTGGCCGGCCTACCCCCTTAATATGTTGTTTTAAGAATGCTGACTCTGGGGTCAAACCCCAGCGTCATCACTTTCTAATCCTCTGACCGTAGATGACTCACTGAGACTCTCCAACTTCAGCTTCTAATCTGTAAAATGGGGATAGCAGGACCTACCTCATAAGGTTGTTGTCAAGCTCATGGTGAGGGAATCCACGTAAAGATGCCTGGCCTATAGTAAGTGCTCAATAAATTTTAGCCCTTTATCACAGTGTCTTCCCCCGGAAGAAGCATCTCTTGTGACTTACCCCTTGTAAGACTTGAAAGCTGTCGTTGTTGGGTGGTGGGTCCTGATCTGGGTCAACACCAACTCTGTAAGTCACCAGGGAGAAAGACAAGGAGAAAAATGGAGAGTATTAGCTCGGACCATGGCAGCCATGCTGGCTGAAAGTAGCCAAGGGGCCAACCATCTTCCGGAAGCGGAAGGAGTAGTTAGCTAGAAGAAGAGGAAGGCTGTCATGCAAAAGTTGTGAGAAAGAGGTCATGTTCCATGTCAGATCCCAGGGGGCAGGAGAGGCAAGTGGTGCTTACATCCTATTTGAGGTCGCTGGCTGGCGACTGTCCTTCTGCCTTCCTGCACCAGACGGTCCCAGTTATCCAACCATGGGTCTCGATGCCCCACGCCTTTTCCTTTCTGCTGCTTCCTCCCGTCTGCCCTGACCTGCTCTTAATTCCCTAAACTTCTGTTCCAACAGTTTTCATATATCCAGGGCAGTGCCGGAAGAATTTATAGTGAACACCTGTATATCCGCCACCGACAGTCTACCATTAACATTTTGCTGGAGTTTATCGCGTATCTATCCACTTCTCTACCACCCATCTTATTTTTTAGATGCATTCAAATAAAGTTGCAAACATCAGTACTTGTCCCCTAAATACTTGAGCATGCATATCATTAACGTTTTGTCCCGGTGCCCCCACATCCTCCCACAGCGGAGATGACCTGAGAAGTGACACTTTTAAGATCAACAACTGAAGACAGAAAGAAAAGGCAAAGTGGCAAAATCCACTTACAACAAATCCCATGCTTTGACTAGGGTAGTTGTCTTGGCTTAGTAACACACCAACTGTTGTTTTGTGCACCTGTTAATTCTTCATCCCTGTACCTTCCTCGCTCTGAGGAGGAGAACTGTGACCTTGATCACAGGCGGGTGGGGGAGAAAACAAAGAGGCCAGGAAAATTCTCTGTCTTCCCACACTCCCTCCAGTGTTGCAAAGACCTATAAACAGAACACGATTTCTGGCAGGTCTGACCCGAGCTGGGAAGGGAGGTGCTGAATGGCCTCAACAAAGAGTCTTTGGCCGTCCGGTACCGGGGTGCTGACTCCAATGAGTAGACAGCGGACTACAAAACCCCATGTGTGTGCACCTTACTTTTCTTCCTCTCCCTCCCTCTTTCCTACCTATGATGCGCAGGTTATTTCTTGAAAAAAGAGACTAATAGAAAAGGAAAACAGAAGACAACACAGATGTGCCAACCCTCCCAAAGCCAACCTCTACCCTGTCTTATTGCAGGTTTGTCAAGCACTAACCCAAGGTGTGCGTCCCTGGAAAGGGGGAACTATGGAGGGAAAGGAAACAGATAGCCCGTATGTTGCTGAGGGCAAAGTTTAAAACCACAAGACGAATTCATGTATTCAGCAAATATTTATTGACTGCCTATGATGTCAGGTACTGTTCTAGTTAAAATCTAGCGTACCTGACACCAGATTTCCTCCCTGCGGGCCTGGGGTTTGGTTAAGATCTTCGTAGTGAGTTCGATGGACTTTGCTATGTGTCTAGGGACTGCTTCCAGGCTGGAGATTCTGAGGGTTGGAGGCTTGTCCTCATAAGTGGACATTATTCAGGGATCTTTGAACAACAAATCTCACAGAGATTTTCTTGACACGAAATCCATCCAATTCAGGGGCCTTTCAGGGCTGCCCCCAAAAAGTCCCACCAGAGCCTCAATGCATCTGAAGTGTCTAATGTATCAAAGTGTTAAGAGGAGAGGTCACATATGGAATTCCCAGCTCTTGGGAATTTTGAGCCCTCACTCGTTTTAGAGACTCTTAACACACATTCCCCAGAGAAAAGTCCTCTATAGGGTAGCTCGGTCAGCATTTGTAAGATCAACAGCTAGGAATCCAATCTTGGGCCTTGTTCTGTGGGTTCTATAGCAGCAGGCTCGCTTACTCAGATGAGCTTCCCAGTGCAGACACAGAGTGCCGGTTACCCCAGTGTTTCTCGGACAGCCTACCAGAATGCCAGGTGATACAGCAGCCCTCGACCTAGCCACAAGGCCTGGCCAGATTGTGGGGCAGGAGCAATGAGATTATGTGATCTGAAGGGCATGAGGCACAGTATGGCCAAGAATATGGCAGTCCGGGTCTGCCACTAATAATCTCTCCTTTCTATACTGTGAATTTTGAAATAGGTGTAATTAGCCTTCGTAAGTGGCTTCCATTCCAGCAAAGATAAAACAAGTTGACTTTACTGTCCTAGATGAAATAGGAAGACTAGGGGTAGGAGAAAAGGTTAAGGATGCCCTGTATTACAATAATGAAAATAAAACCAAACATGATAAAAGCTGCCAAATGAAATTTAGCCCCCTCTAGTCTTTTAACTAATTTCTATTAAAAGGGAAAAAAAAAAACTTTGGTTAACAAGAATTAAATTTTGTTCAACCAGAACTGCTTAGGAAGACTAGGTTGTGACTATTTTCATTCAAGTTCTGGCAATGTCGGAGGAACTCATCCATTTATCCTGGGTCCGTGTGGCCAGGCCAGAATTCAAAACAACAAAGCACAAAACGGTGAAATAACCTGATACACTCACAAAAGTAGGGCCACCCTAACCTCATCTCAAACTCGTAATGTTCAACATTTTGTCTGGGAGAACTTGGGAATGATTCTAGACCCACGCTGTCTGGTAGACCTTTCTAGATCTGCGCTGTCCAACATGCTAGCCACGAGTCACAAGTGGCCAGCCACTGAGCAGTTGAAAAATGTGGCTAATATGACTACTGCTGTACTTTACATTTCATTCAGCTTCACACCAAGTGAGAAAATAAAGCAATCAAACTAATGTGCTCACTCTGGAATGAAAAAATATAGAAAGAACATGAATAATTTCCCTTCTGGTATGAGTGTAAGTACATTCTGATTAGCTGCCATCTAAAATGCCATGAAATCTCAGGAATTTTAGAAGTGTTCTATTTCAATTGATAATTTTTCAAAAATGTGAATGGCTGAGGCCCTAAGTAATTGGAAGACTATGCAACACACACCTACATGTAAAACCCTGAACACCAGATCACGGTCTGAATTCTCTCATGTCCCAAGTGTAATAACTTGTACTGTGCCCAAAGGACCTTCCTTCCTGAAGGTGGGATATTTCAAAAGAAAGGGTTTCCTCTGCCACCTACCTGCTACCTAAAGTCAGACCTCCAAAAAGTGAATGTGTGTGTGCGTGTGCGTGTGTTTTAAACAGTAGAAAAAAAGTGTATGATTAACATAACATAATAAAATAAAATTTAAAAAAAAGTGTGAACCCAGGGACCTTAAGAGCTTCCATTACTTAGACACACATCGTTAGGGTACATCTGGAGCCTGGTGATATCGCAGCGCCCATGGCTGGTGAGCAGCATCGCTGTTCTCTCCACTGCCCTCAGACAGTGACGTACTTTGACGGTGGCAAGAACAGAGCTCAAGCCTGTTCTGCACTGATTTATCTACCAGCACTGAGAATCAGGCCAGGAAGAATGCGTACTGATAAAGACGCAGAAAGGACAAAAGAAACATTAAAGTCTTTGTTCTCCTGCCCCCCACTGCCCCCCTTAAGCCTAATCAAATCATAAACTTGGGTGGACACTGAAAACCCAACTGCATTACAAGAGTCTTTATCTTCTGGTTTTGTTTTTTTTTTTTAAAAAAACAGAAGTGTTTTTGTATCTTCTGATTCACCATAAGGTACGAGGACACAATTACATACTTTAAAAACTACTCAAAGAGCACTGGTGCTTAATTAAGATGGTATGAGCCCTACCCCAGTCACGGCAGACATATCAAATCCTAAGTCTCTTTATGAGTGAAAAGCCTTGTTTACTAGATCATAAACAAGACTTTGTGGAAAAAGTATCTGCGGCTCTGAAAACGGACTGCTCTGGACTCTAAGCTCAGTTGTCTAAGAGGGGAGACACTTGCCACCTCCGGCTTTGGTGTTGACACACACTGTCCAATATGCGGGGACAGAGAACAGACTCTGAGGAACACCGACACAGCAATCAACCCAGAGACAGGGTGGAAAAGCGGTTAGACTTGACCTGACCTCTTGCCCCTTTGGCTGAAAGGGGCAGGGGGTTGGTGCACACAGGAAGGAAGGAAGAGACAAAACGGCATAAAGAGAAACATGTCAGGTTAGAAGGAGGAGAAAAGCCAGGCCCAGTTCATTTGTTTCTGAGGATTTCCTTGCGTCACCTGATGTACTGCCAGCGGTGTTCGTTCTGGTCCTCTTCGGACAACTCCTCGACGCCAACTCTGGGCAGCAGAAGAAGGGAACGTAAGTGTGACGGGGCGCACAGGGGAGCCGGGAGCTCGGGGCACAGGACCTGGACCACGCCTATCAAGGGAGAGGTGGGCTCCCTCTGAAGAGAGATCCGTACCCTCTCTTAAACTGTCTCCGTTCTCTAAAACCCAGAGAGGCAGAGAGGCTGCTAAATTTAAATTTAAAGCAACCATGTTAGGAGCGAGGCCAAGTGAGGATCAATCGGGAATGAAGGTAAGCCTCTCAAAATATCATGTAAGGAAATCAGGAATGCATGCAGCTCACGGAAAATGAATTTATACAATTTTTTCAGGAATTCACCTGTTTCATAAAGCAAGGTACATCCATACGAAAAATAGAAAACAGAGTTGTTACTAAACACGTATCTGAAGTGTTTACACATACTTTGACACGTATTTGACAGAAAGAGCAAAAAGCACCATACTGTTGAAAACAGCAACAATACTTAAGAAGACAAAGATGGCCTTTTTTTTTTTTTCTTTTTCAGACACAAGTAAACCATGTTGTCTAAGGGTTCCTGAAGGTCAGGAACCCAACTTTCTGCTATTCTCTTTCTCTTGCGCCTTAGAGTTGACACGGACCATTTTCACCTGCCTTAACAATTTCTGGGTTGTATTCAGGGTGCATTTGAACTTTGCCATCAAACTAAGAGCAGGGTTTCACAATGTTGGCACTGCTGACACTTCGGGCCCTGGCCTCTACCTACAAGATACCACTGGCAACCCCCTACGCAGTTGAGGCAACCCCAAATATCTCCAGACATTGCCAAATGGCCTCTGGGGGGCAAACTGCCCTCAACGGAGAACCAATGCACTTAGATCATGTATTCTCAGTTGGGGGTGGTATTGCCCCCATGGGTGTGAAGATTGGTTCTTGTGAGGCAAAAAGTTTTAGGTATTACAATGGTTTGTAGCCCTCTAAACCGTGATACTACATAAACAAGCATATAGCAGATCTGTGGTATTAAAATTTCACTGGAAGAGGTAATGGGGGGGGGAACATTTTTGAAGGGCTCCTTGTGGGGGGACAACAGTGAAAACAAGGTGGAAGAACACTGTGCAAGACAATGCCCAACTTCTCATGCTACTGATATCCCCTGGAATATGCAAGCGAGAACGAGATATGCTTCTTAAGGTGGTACTTCAACAAGTCACATGCTCAGAATGTGACTCTATATTTTACCATACTATTGAAAAATTGTAACACATTCCAGAAAAGCAAGCTGGACTCCATTAATGTAAGATTCACTGATAATAATAATAGCAATAGTAGCACTACTGATGCTATGATTAGTAATGATAATATAATAATATTGTATTATATATGACATATATTAGATACAATAATTAACAGCTAAAAGATCCTAAATGCTTACCATGTGCCAGATGGGACATTTCTTTTTCAGGTGGTACGTTTAAAGAGAATTTTTTATCACATTTATTTATCATCACATTTATTTTATCCTTACACTATCGTCCCCATCTAAACTGGTGAGGAAACTGAGTTGAAGAGGCTAAATAAGTTGCCCAAGGTCACAAAGGTAGAAAATGGTAGAACCAAGACTGCGGCTGAGGTTCTTAGACCCCAGAGCCCCAGTTCTTCACCTCACAGTATCCGCCTTTTTTTAAAGATTTATTTATTTATTTGAGAGGGGGAGGAGGGGGGAGGGGTTGAAGGAGAGGGAGAGAGAAACCCAAGCAGACTTCATGCTGAGCACAGAGCCCGACAAGGGGCTTGCTCCCTCGATCTTGAAATCACAACCCAAGCCGAAACCAAGAGTTGGACACCCAACCAACTGAGCTACCCAGGCGCCCCAGGATCCACCTTTTGATTACACGCTGGTGTCCTTAAACTCTTTTAAAATATCCAGTTACAGGGGCGCCTGGGTGGCTCAGTCATTAAGCGTCTGCCCTCGGCTCAGGTCATGATCCCGGGGTCCTGGGATCGAGCCCCACATCGGGCTCCCTGCTCCGCGGGAAGCCTGCTTCTCCCTCTCCCACTCCCCCTGCTTGTGTTCCCTCTCTCGCTGTGT